TTCGACGCGCCGCCGCCCCGGGTGCGCGAGACGGCCTTCGAGGAGGATGCGCCGCTGCCGCGGACCTACCTGGAGAACAAGGCCTTCTCCATGGACGAGCACAGCGCAGGTAGGCGGCTCGCCGCGGTAGGGGCAGGGCCATCTGTCCTGAAAGGACTCTCTGCTACCCTCTCGGGGGCAGTGGTGGTGGCAGCCCTGGCAGGTCAGAGCCCACAAGCGTTGACACCTGTGTGGAAACTGGCCCAGAGGTGGATTTTTATTTAGAATTGTGTCCTATTAATTGCCAAGTACATTGGGGCCTTGACTTACGAGTTTAATTCGTTCCGTGACGGAGCTCATAACTCAAATTACTCGTATGTCAAATCAAGAAGTCAACGAGTGAGACACGTGATGCTGGGCTGATGTTGTGGCGTTCACTGTGACGTTCGCTGCGCCAACTAGCGGTGGGGTATCTGAAGCTGGCTCGTAACCCGAATTTTAGCTCGCAACTCAAAGCCAAAAATTGGCCGAGAGATGGCTCATATCTCGAAAACTCGTTAGTCGGGACACTCATAAGTCAAGGCCCCTCTGTAATTTAATGTAAAAATCCAGGTCTCTGTCATTGAAAAGCTGGATCTGGCCCTGCCACCCCGTCCCAGCCAGCAGCTGCTCCTGTAGGTGCTCCCTCCTCCCTGGCCCTGGCCCAGCCACGCCCACCACCAGGTTAGCATTCATTGCTTGCACCCTGGCAGGGGGCATGTGCAGCGAGTGCCAGGTGATGGGGGCAATGCTTGTGCCCCTCCGCTCCCTCTGGCACCACGAGTGCAGAAATTGAAGCCCTCAAGTCAGATGTCTGGATTCAGACACTGTCTCTACTGCTTCTAGCTGTGGGGCTTTGAGCAGTTTCTCTCATCTGTTAAAAAAATAAAAGAATGTGCTTGGTGGCGCTGCTGTGAGAGGTGCCATGCTGGGGTACCAGGCCGAGGGTCCCACGGTGCCTGGCATGGGATGTGAATCTGGCTGGGCTCTTCTGAGAGTAGAACCTGAGACCAGGCGCAGGTGGCTGGCTGGGGAGGTCGGGACGTGGGCATCTCTGGGAGCCCAGAGGGCACAGCGGGCAGGGCGAGCAGGGCCAGCAGCTGGTGGGGCCCAGCAGCCGGGGAGCCTCTTACTCGGCTCCTCTGGGCAGGTTCTTCCCCGCAGACCCCCGGGGCCGCGATGGTAATGCATTGCCTGAAATGGGTGTGAATTTGCACATTCCTTGTTGGTCTGTCACTTTGCCAGGCTCGGAACGCTCTCTGTTAGCCCGGAACACTAGGAGCTTGAAGGTCTAGTCTCCTTGCCATGAAGTGGGGATGCTAGGACTGCCCATGTAGCTTAGGGTCTACAGAAGTGGGGATGCTAACCTTTGTTGCGTGCACTCATGGACCAGGTACCACCCTGTGCATTTTAGTAGCTAATCTCGTTTAATACCTACAGTGACCCCATGAGGTCCCTTTGCAGACAGGTAACTGAGGCAGAGCCAGGGTGTGGACCAGGCAGGATTATTCTTTCAGAGCATGTTGGTGCCCTCATATCCCTGATGATTCAGGATGCTCTGTGCGTTGAGAAGACGCGGGTTCAGTCCCATGTCACAGAGCTGAAGCCCACCACTGGTTCAGTTCAACACTAAGTGCACAGGAGAGTGGGGAGGGGAAAGTGGGTTTTCTGGCTCCCATTACATGCATCCCTTTCTGTGGAAATGCAGCGAGTACATCCTATCCGAGTAAGATCCAGAGACCAAGGGAACTGGGACCCAGGTGAGGACCAGCAGTGTGCAGGGGGCGATGGGGTTCCCCCACCCACATCTGTTACACCCTGACATGTACCAAAGCCAAGAAACTTGTCTTTTAGTCCCCTTTATTCTCCAAAATACTAGTAGTGTTATTACCCCTTTCTGATGACAAAAGGTTAGTAATACTCATTTAGGAGGCTTAGCAAATAGAAATAATAAAAATTGCTCAAAATACCCTTGCCCAAAGGCAGTGCTCCCATTTTGCCAGACTGACTCTCTCTCTCTGTCACACACACACACACACACACACACACACACACACACACATACATGCACCACGATGCCATAGAGCTGTTCTTAACCTCGCTGCACATAAGAATCCCTTGAGCAGCTTAAAGACAGATGAGTGCCTGTCCCTTACTCTGTAAGTCTCTAGGGCCCAGATATTGTAAGCTTCGAGTGACTGTAAGGTGTAAGCAGGTTGAACACTGGGCTGGGAGTGTGCTTGCCTCATTCAGCATCACGGCCAAGGCCTGTCCTGCCAGTGACTGCGGAGCCACATGTCTGTTTCCATCGGGCACGTGATGTAGTTTTCTGGTCTCCAGCTGGCGAATGTCCCATATGTTTCTGGCTTCCCATATAAATTTATGCTGCAGTGAACATTTCCTGTTTTTCTGTATCTTTCAAAATTTTTATTTGCAGTTGACGTTCAATATTATATTAGTTTCAGGTGTACAACCCAGTGGTTAGACATTTATATAATTTATGGAGTGATTCCCCCCATAAGTCTAGTACCCACTTGGCCTCATCCATAGTTATCACAGTATTATCTATACGAATAAAAGGGTAATAGGCTAATTAGACTGGACATCTTCCAGATGTCCTTCTGGACAAAGCCACAGTGGCAGGGGCTGAGGCAGAGGCGGTTAGGGGCGATCAGACTGGCAGGGGAGAGCAGTTGGGGGGCAATCAGGCTGCAGGGGAGAGCAGTTAGGGGGCAATCAAGTTGTCAGGGGAGAGCAGTTAGAGGGAAATCAGGTTGTCAGGGGAGAGCAGTTAGGGGACGATCAGGCCTGCAGGGGAGAAGTTAGGGGATGATCAGGCTGGCAGGCAGAGGCGGTAGGGGTGATCAGGCAGGCAGGCAGGCAAGTGGTTAAGAGCCAGCAGTCCTGGATTGCGAGAGGGATGTCTGACTGCTGGTTTAGGCCTAATCCTGTGGGATCGGGCCTAAACTGGCAGTTGGACATCCCCCGAGGGGTCTCAGATTGGAGAGGGTGCAGGCTGGGCTGAGGGACACCCCCTGTCTGCCATGCACGAATTTCATGCACCAGGCCTCTAGTCTATAATAATAGAAGGGTAATATGCTAATTAGACCGGACAGCTGAACAACATTCCAGATGTCATTCCGGATTTCCTTCCAGACAAAGCCACCATGGTGGGGGCTGAGGCAGAGGTGGTTAGGGGCAATCAGGCAGGCAGGCAAGCAGTTAGGGGAGATCAGGCAGACAGGCGAGTGGTTAGGGGCAATGAGGCAGGCAGGCGAGTGGTTAGGGGCAATCAGGCAGGAGAGTGATTAGGAGTGATCAGGCAGACAGGCAGAGTGATTAGGAGTGATCAGGCAGGCAGGCGAGCAGTTAGGGGAGATCAGGCAGGCAGCCAAGTGCCCTTGATCAACTAACTTCCTGCAAAAAAGAAAATAAAAAATTCCCAGACTGCATCTAAAGTTGCACCGAAGAATCTGTGCCTTGGAGTCCTGATATATACTGCCCCCCTGTAATCATCGTATGAGAGCCCTATTTCCCCACGTCTTCACCAGCCTTGTTTGTTGTCAGACTTTTTTTAATAGCCCTGCTTTGCATCATCCCACGTGTGTATCCACTGACATTTCCATGGGACCAGGCAGGGCAGCTCCAGGCAAGCCGTGCCCTCAGAAAGCTCAGAGGCTGAGTTGCCATCTGGCTGGTGCTGCCTCTGTCCCGGTTACCTTTGCCTGCAGGGACGCCTGGCCACGCTCCTGTGCACGGTGAGAGCAGCTGTTGTCAGCTGTGGCACTAACCTCAGCCAGCTTCTACTGTAAGGAACTGGCCCCGCAGCTGACCAGACAGGAGCTACAGTGCCCTGTTCTTTTGCTTTTTCACCTGCTGGCCTTTCAGGCTCCCCTTCCTTGAAAGCTGCCTTGGCTTTCAGAGGTGGGACGCATCCCAGGTGGCCTGTGGCTCAGCCACGCCTGCAGCCTCTGCTTCCTCGTTCCCTTCCCCCAAGGAGACCCTGATATGCACCACTTCACCAGCCTGCTGCTTATGAATAAGTATCAACAAGGCATGAGGTATGTGAGTAAAAAGATTAAAATACACTGAAGGATGTAGCACCTCAGGTCACATCTCGGGCAGTGTTAGCAGGCGCTTGAAATGCTCACCTTTCCAAGAGCAGGAAAGGAAAGAGTTCTTTCTTCTGGGAGGGATTTGGGCTCAGATCTCATTAGGGCCGAGGGCTATTTAAACCCTAACCCTTAGCTTCCCAGTGGAAGGCCCTCAGTGACTTGCGGGGGGCGGGAGGGGGGTGAGCTAGCCTCACTCACAGAGTCTAGACAGGGGAGGGCTGGCATTCAACCTCTGATCTTTGATTCCTGTGGGGACCTATGGGTGAGCCCTGCTTGCCTTTCAGAGTTGACCCAGGTCAGAATGGGGTGTTAGCTGGGATTCTCAAAGTTGCAAGTAATGAAAATCTGATTTTAATCAGCTTAAGCAAAGCAAGATTATAGCACAGCAACAAAACTGATGGACTAAGGACGAAGCTTCAGGAGGGGTTCGATCCAAGAGCTCGAGGTGACAAGATTTGGTATTTCTCCATCTCTAAACCTTTTAGCATCTTGGCAGCCCACAGCTCTAGGCTTGCACAGAGTCCTAGTAGAAAAGAGGAACATTTCCCAGGATGCTAGAGAAAAATCCCAGAGTTAGCTCTGATTGGACCTGATGGCCCTTCCTGAGCCAATCAGTGTGGCTGGGGAGACACGATGCCCTGGCTGGCTAGGCCTAAATCACATGCCCACCTGGAGGCCAGGGGAGAATGCCACCGTAGCCAACACTCAGGGGCTTAGAATGTGGGGGAGGGATGTTTCCCAGAGGAGAGGCCCTTGGGCCAGTGCACCCCACAGCTGGGCAGGGCAGCGCTGAGTCCCCACCACAGCTGCTGTGTCTGAACCTCCCTCCATTCAAGCAGATCAGGCTAGGGATTGAGACTGGGACGGTCTCCTGTCCCCTACTGGGCCCGGCGGCCCCTTCTCTGCTTCCCAGGAAGGACTTCTCCTTGCTCAGAACGTGCACAGGGGCTGTGAAGGCTTGGAGATGCTAAAGCAAAAGAGGTTTTCATAAGCGTGTCTTGGAACTCGAGTTCCCTATCCTGCCTCAGTTTCTTTGGTCCAGTCTGGGCCCAGCTGCCCCCAGTGTCACTTGAATTTAAGTTGCTTCTAATGAACTAAGTGTGGTGGTTAAAACCTAGTATTCGGAGCTAGTATAGTGTGATTGTTATGAACACAGCTTCTCTGCCTGAGTTTGAATACTGATTCTGTCACTGATCTGCTGTGTGACCTTGGGCAAGTTACTTAATCTCTCTGTGCCCCGTGTGAAGTGGAAATCATAGAAGTGCCTGTGGTGCTGTGACAGTTAAAGGAGTTTATAGGTGTATAAACTCCGCACCTGGCTCCTGGGTGGCATTCTCTGAAGGTGAACTGCATTACCCAGGTGGTTTTGGTCCCTTTTCCAAGGAGTTTCTAAAAATTGCAAGATCTCTTTAGTCAGAAAGATGACTCCCCCAGTGAAGACTTTCAGGAGAGGTTTCTCGGAACAGCAACATCAGTGCCTTCGCTGGAAATGAAGATCATGAAGATGCCACCACACCCTGGAGGTGGACTTCTGTTTTGATTTTTAAACAGTCCTACTACCTTCTCCACTACTCTTTAATAAGACTGTTTTTTAGAGCAGTTTTAGGTTTACAGAAAAATTAAGCAGGAAATACAGAATGTCCCCACAAGCCCCGCCCCCAGTTTCCCTGTTACTAACAACTTGACTCTGTTACATTAGTGTTGCAGTTAGTGAATCCTTGCTATTAGCCAAGCTGTCATGGACATGTGGGACATCACTCCTGGTTTGCACAGCTCTGTGCTCTGGACAAATGCATTCTGTCCTCTCCACTGTTAGTTCTGGTGCAGAATAGCTCACAGCCTGAAGATGCCCGCGCTCCGCCATTCATCCCTAGCCCAGCCCCAGCCACTAACACCTTTACAGTCTCTAGCTTTGCCTTTTCCAGCATATTATAGCTGGCACCATACAGTGTGTAGCTCTTACAGGCTTAGCAATATGCATTTAAGTTTCCTCCATGTCATTAGGTTTTTCTTTATTAAAAAGGGGGAGAGAATCTCTGAAAGTACACAGCAGATAAGAAACACGGTGTATCCAGAGATAGAGCGTCCTGCCTATTTCTCTGTCTTTGCTTCAGATCTTAATTTATTCCTGTTCAGCAGGAGCCCCCCGTCTGGTCCAAGCCCCTCTGTGCCCTGCCTTTCCCGTGAGACACCCTCTGTCATGTGCCTTGGTCCATGCTCTTCCCTGCCTCTGTGTGTAGGGACACAGTGAGCCGTGTTGACGGTGTGATGTTGAACTGGCCATGAATGGCATGCTGTAGTGAGGTCTTTGGTCCAGGGGACCTGGGAGTACAGGGTGTGTCCTTGTCCCCTGGAGCCTGCAGGTGGGGAGGGGGAGGCCTGGCCTGTCTGCCTCAGCAGCTGCAGCCTGGACTCTGCAGACTCCTCCCCGCCCCCAGGATGGGTCACTCGGGGCAGAGAACAAAGCCCCTCTGTGACTTGTTGGGAGTCAGGCTGTGACAAAGGGCAGGAGGGAGGGCTGTGTGCCAGAGCGTGCTGATGCAGGGGAGGAACACAAAGATGTCTCTCTTCCTTGTTGTTTTGGTGTCTGTGTGGCTCCCACCTTCCCCAGCTCTCCGGACAGCAGGGTTCCGCAACGGCAGTTTGGGAAGCAGACCCAGCGCTCCGTTTAGAAGCAATGTGTACCAGCCGACCGAGATGGCCGTGGTGCTGAACGGCGGGACTGTGAGTATCAAGCCCTGGTGTTTTGGCGGAAACCTGAGAGGGAAGGACGAGGGGGAACAGCTCCCACAGGGACACAGCTCTGCAGGGGCTGCTAGGCCTGTGCAGACAGCAGTTCTAGCAGACACTGCAGCAGGAACGTGGCGAGGCTGCCATTTCTCCTACCCCTCTCCACGCACCCAGGCCCCTGTAGTGTACCATCCGTACCCGGTGTACCACCCGTACCCAGTGTACCACCCGTACCCGGTGTACCACCCGTACCCGGTGTACCACCTATACCCGGTGTACCACCTGTACCCACTGTACTACCTGTACCCGGTGTACTATACCAATTACACCACCTGTACCCAGTGTACTACCAAACCCAATGTACCATCTATACCCAGTGTACCTTCTGTACCCGGTGTACCACCCGTACCCAGTGTACCACCTATACCCGGTGTACCACCCGTACCCAGTGTACCACCTGTACCCGGTGTACCACCCGTACCCAGTGTACCTTCTGTACCCAGTGTACCACCCGTACCCAGTGTACCACCTGTACCCGGTGTACCACCCGTACCCAGTGTACCACCTGTACCCGGTGTACCACCTGTACCCAGTGTACCACCTGCACCCAGGGTACTATACTGATTGGGCCACCTGCACCCACTGGACCACCTGTACCCGGTATACCACCTAGAGATTCCCTTAAGTGTCCCTGTATCTTGCGGTTCTTGTACCCAGTGAATCCTTGGGTTTCATTATACAGAATGTATCCCTCTCTCCGTGGGAGGTGACTTAAGAAAAGCCCAGATTGCCGAACCGGTTTGGCTCAGTGGATAGAGCGTCGGCCTGCGGACTCAAGGGTCCCGGGTTCGATTCCGGTCAGGGGCATGTACCTTGGTTGCGGGCGCATCCCCACTGGGGGGCGTGCAGGAGGTGGCTGATCGATGTTTCTCGCTCATCGATGTTTCTAGCTCTCTATCCCTCTCCCTTCTTCTCTGTAAAAAATCAATAAAATATATTTTAAAAAAGAAAAAGAAAGAAAAGCCCAGAATTACGAAGTGGATTTTGCTGACGCCCAGCCTAGTCAGGCCCTTAGCCCCCCGCCCTGTGCCAGCTGGGCCCGGGCTGCCCACTCCCCCGCCCTGTGCCAGCTGGGCCCGGGCTGCCCACTCCCACCCAGAGAGTTACCTTGAAAAATTGAAGTGCTTCTCGTTTCCCGTCTGTGAACACAAAAGCGGGTGAGCTGGCTGGTGCCAAACAGGCCTCAGCAGAACCGTCACTGTCTCTTTTGCCTGTGAATGACCTCATGTTGCTTCTCCATCGAATCAGATACACTCTCATCCCCACATTTACTGCCAAGTGCACTCCCTGCTTCTTCCTAGGTGCATGAGCCACTACAGGTGCGAATGGATTTCCATTCCTCTGTCATGTGCCACGCCCATGCTCGGCCTCGGGGCTTTGTGTCGGATGTGGTCAGGGCTGTCTGCGCTGGGGGCAGGGCTCCTGCCTGTGGGTGCTGTCGGCGTTGCCCTGCAGGTGGGATAGGCCCCCAGATTCCCACACTGCAGCCTTTACTGCCCCCCCCCCGACTGGGCTGCCTCCCACTGGGCTGCCTCCTGGTGGGGAAGAGCCTGATTCGAGCCCCCGCTGTTATAATTAATATGATTAGAAGGTGGCCCCAAAGGTCAGTCCTAAGCCTCCCTGGTCCCTTCAAGACAGAAGAGCACCCTGACTCAGAAGGTGAAGGGTTTCTGGGTAAGGAAACATTTATTCTGGCACATGACCCCAGAGAAAGGAAGGTGGGCTTCCCGAGAAGGCAGGGCCAGGCACCCAGCCCCGGGAGAAGGCAGGGCCGGGCACCCAGCCCCGGGAGAAGGCAGGCGCTGGGCCTCGTACTGTGTGCTGCGGGGACGCTGACTTCCCAGCACAGAGCTTAGTGTGTTTCCTTGTTTCCAGATCCCAACCGCGCCACCGAGTTACATGGGAAGACACCTCTGGTGAGAGACGCAGGCCGACCTCTGAGGGCTCATCCGCTGTCTCTCTGGGAGGAGTCAGCCACTGCGGCCGCACAGGCAGCTCCCGCCAGAGCTCTGGAAACCCTAGGCCAGGGCCCATGAAATGTGAGCACTGCTGAATGGCGAGCTAACCCAACTGCCACCTCCCCGCCCCCGAGCCCCGCAGCCTCGACCCCGCACACTGCAGCGAAGCTGATTGCCAGTAGAGTTAGCTCCCTCACAAACAGGGCAGGAAGCCCGTCGCATCCTCAGGTGGACCAGCCCCATGCTCACGGCTGAGGGCCAGGCAGCTGTGGGTGAACGTGGAGGTGCCCCCACGCCCCCGGCCTCTTGGAGGTGCTGTCCATTGAGGGGCCCATGGGGCTCTCTGCCTGCACTTTCGGGGTCAGGAGCAGTTCAGGAGGCTGTGGTGTGAGTCAAAGGAGAGGCCAATCGGATCGGGAGGCAAGCTGTCCCCCGGCCTGGAGGTGCTGTCAGTGCCAAAAGGGGTGCAGCCTGGGAGCGGGAGTGACCGTCACAGTCAGAAAGTGGCGATCTGCCACGGCGCCTCCCCGGGGCCTCTGAACCAGTGTCTTGGCAGGAAAATGAGGCACTACCTACCCCCCCTTGTGTTGCCGCCCACCAGTGGCCTCGTGCCCACTACCATTCATTTCAAAGGCTGAAGTGGGGCCACCAGCTTGAAGTTCGGGGTCGGCAGGCGGGCGGGCAGGCGCCTCAGCAGATTTTCCCAGATGGGGCACCGGGTGCCTCCGGGTGGAGGGTGGCACTGCTGCCTGGCATGCGGCGAGCTGGATGCAGCATCGAGCTTTCTGCTGCACGGGCGGGGAGTGGTACATCGCTAACTTGGTGCCTGCAAGGTCCATGAAAATGGTTCGAGTCCTCCAAGCCATTGTCCTGTGTGGCTCCCACCTGTCCCCAGCAAGTCCCCCCCGGTCCCTGCATTCCACGGCTCAGCACCCAGCCCACACACGCTGCACTGTTTGGCCAGCACAGCCGCCAGCAATTCTCGGTGCGTCTCAACTGACGGCAGGGGGTGCACAGGAGGCGGGGCCTGAACAGCCCAGACGCCTGTAACCTTTTAGGAAAATGGAAAAGGTTAGTGTTTGGTGAGGGGAACTGACCTCTTCATAACCAATGTGTCTGAGCTGAGTGTGTTTTAATAAACCTGACTTTTCTCCAGGCCTAGTCTCTGCTGTCCCCCCTCCGCCTCCACCCAGCCCAGGTGTCTATGTGGCCCTCCTCCCGGTTCCCTCTGGCCAGCACCTTCCTCACGCATGCCCAGCCCAGAGCCCGAAGCTCCCAGGATCCGACCCCAGCCCTATGACAGGAACAGCAGGGGTGGGTGAAAACTCGGGGGTGGGGGGGGCGGGGCAGACCCAGACCCAGACCCAGAATTCTCAACATATAAAAATCTTCCAACACCTGTGTCCAGGCCACTGGGAACCGACTGCGTTACACATCCTTGTGCCAGGAAGTGGCCACTCAGCCCCGGTCCCTGGAGTCCTTCAGAGCCCCAACCCCACCTGGGACTCAGGACTTGGCTGCAGAGCCCGCAGGGGGTGTTCGTACCGCCCTTCCCTGGGCGCAGGGGCCCAGCATGCCAGGCGAGCGCGGGGCAGCGACTGCGGGCATGTAACCTTTGACCCCACACGTGGAACAGCTTTGTGTCAAGGACTGAGATCTTTTTCCTTCTTTTCTTTTTAAGCCTCTGATAGTGACTGCTCTGCGTTTTGCTTTATTTGGGCACTAAGATGGGCGCAGGCCAAGTGCGGCCCTGGGCGGAGGTGGGGGGAGAGTGCGAGAACTGCCGTTTCCTAGTGACGTCACTGGAAGGTACAGAGAGACATCTGTGCCCAGAGACGCAGCCAACTTTCCCCACAGAGCAAAGTTCAAGTACCAAGTTAAGTGGCGCCTGTTTCTGTGAACAGCCTTGTTGGGGAAGATGATCTGAAGAGGCATCGGTGGTAAAAAGACCTAATCGTAAGCACTCCTGTCCACGTTTGCTTACGAAACCACCGTGCACTCTCACAGCCACGAGTGCCCCCTAATGGAGATGGTCCTTAGAGGCTGGTGTCTCCCTGGGAGACGGAGCTGACAGGCACGCCGGGAAGCCGTGCGCCCCAGGTCTCGGGTCTGTGGTTGGAAGCGCGGACGTAGGGGTCTTCTAGGTCAGCCAATGCCGAGTTGAACCCCAACTGAAGGGAGCTTGTGGCTTTCGTGGCCCGAGGATGCAGTGACCCACCAGCTCACAGGAGTGCCCAGCGGGTGCTTTGTGTTCATTGAGCTACGGCTCACTTTTGATAGATAATATGTATTTATTAAATGTATTAACATGTGTTTTATAATGTACCTTCATCCTCCGCTGGCTGACTGTCGCGTACTTATGAGAAAAAAAAATTAAAGAAATTTCAAGACAATCAATGTGCACTATACATGACTGTATATAACTATTACAAATTGAAAAGGTTGTAAAGCATTGGCAGATGGATTTTATTTTCAAAATGCTATTCTTAACACAGAAATAAAGGCTTTACTATTTACGTAAGATGTGTGGTAGCATGTCAAACAACCCAATACAACCACAAGGCTACGCCTATGGCTCTTTGAATGGGAAAATCCTGGTTAATGGCAAAGCACTGACCCAATGAGGGTCACCCATCAGCTTGCCCACCGAGTGAGGAGCCTGCTGGGAGTGGGGCCTGACTCCTCTGGGTGGTGGGAAGGTAAGGCGTCTCCTTTGGAAGTGACCGCAGGCAGCAAGGCCTGTCGTGAAGAGCAGGTACCAGATAAACTAAGACCACGCAGGGGTCGGGACTTAAATTTAAACATGGCTCTTTGCCGAAGTGGGACACGGGTAACCAGGACACTTCACTGCTTGCAACTAGAGCTTGTTGTACATTTTAAAGGCGACTGGTGTAGAAGAACACTGAGGCACTGGAGAAATAGAAGGCTGAAAGAATAACATGTAGGGATAATGCAGAAAGACCAGTAAAGTACGAATTACTTGCACTTACAACAAGTGCTGTCTTATGTTTTCTAGCCATTAAATCTAGTTGGTAAAGAAATAACAAGAGGAAGCATAACTTGGACTCTGCCTGAACCTGGTCCCTGGTCAAGGAGCGGAGGTCGGGGCGACAGCAGCCTCTTCCTCCTTCACCTCCTCCTCCTCCTCCATGGTTTGTTTCACTGCAAAGAAACAAAAGAAAAGGTCAGGACTGGGTTACCCGCCTGGAAAGACTTGTCATTGGGAAGTCGAGAACTGGTGGGTGGAGAAGGCCAGTTGTACCAGCTGCTGGGCTGTCCCCAAACCCGCACATGGGTCCATGGCCACCTTAGGTCGGCTCCGCAGGTCAGAGTGCACTTGCAGGGGGGGACTGAAGGAGGAAGTTTTTCTGAAGATGACAGATTCCAGCTCTGGCCTCAACCCTGTGTGTCACCACTCACCCCCCAAATTAAAAACTCCAGATAGCTTGGGGTCAGTACAAGATCAGAAGAGCATCTTTTCAAGACTTTCATGGTCTGGGATCCTGATGATTTCGAGTCAGCCAAAGAGGAAAGGGAGCTGAACACAGCGTGGCACTGTTGTAAGGAACACTGTCCCAGCAGATAACAGCGCCTCCCCCCAAATATGCACCCGTCTCCTGGTCGGGGAAGGGAGCCTTTGGGAAGACTCTTGTCACTCTTGGCTCTAGTGTCAGGTCCTGCCCGATGTGGGTGCCTGAGGCTGTTCTAAGCAAGGCACAGGCACAGCTGGCTTTTGTGGAGAGCCGGGTGGGACAGAATGGATGGCGGTTTCACCGTGGGGTAGGGTTCAGGCCAGCCCACTCGGTCCTGGTCCTGGCCTCCCGGTGACTAAGGCCACACACGGGCAGACCCCAGCCCAGGGGAGGCGTGGACCCCGACCGGACCCGAGCAGCGTGGCTGCTCCCAGGTGGGAGCAGCTGAAGCTTCGGGCAGAGCAGGCCAGCCCAGCAGCTTCCAGCTCAGGCGACACAGACTGCCCAAGGGACACGGTTTATTCAAAGTCCATTTCCAAATCACCTCTGTGTGGACTTGCAATTGCAACATTTCCATTGGCCCCGCCCCTACTTCCCATCCTGGCCCTGCCCCATCCCACCAACCTGGCCCCGCCCCATCTCTCCATCCTGGCCCCGCCCCCGCCTCCCCATCCTGACACTGCTGGTGTGTAAAGATCCCCAGGTGACAAAGGAAGAATTGGAAATGGCATCCCCCAGAGTCGCCTCTGTTTAATAACTAGCAAAATGCGTAATGCATTTATTTAGGTTCTCATGACTGTATTAACCCAGACAAGAAAAATACTGCCAATACCTGGAGCTGTGCTCTGGAAACATGAAACACTTCTCAATGTGTGTGCCTTTCTGTGCCACGTGTCTGGGCAATCCCAGTGAAGACCCTGTTGGCTGGCAGGTGATGAGGCCCCACAGACGCACCACACACAGCTGGCCTCCCAGCCGCGCTGACCATGTTTAGAACTGACTGAGGTGGCCCCCTGATGGGCAGCGTTTGCCAGTTCCCACGGAGGGCCTGGCACGGAGCTGGGAAGCGGGCCCGGGGGCAGTGTGCAGGTAGACACAGGTACCACAGAGCTCACCAGGGGTGGGACCAGCAACGTTTGCATCACTGGGCACCTAGGAGAAACGCAAATCCCTGACCCACAGTCAGAGCCGCCTGTGGAGCCTGCTGTGTGCTCCCCGACCTCTGGCGGGTGCTGACGCCTGACTCTGGTCCCTGGCTGCACTTAGGAGCCCAGGCGGCCCCTGAAGCCTACTGTGCCTGGTCTCACCCAGACCTTCTGGTCCTGGGCCTGGGCCTGGGCCGGGCCTCAGGACTCATTCAAAGCCCCATGTGTGCTGACCAGTCAGGGTTGAGAAACTCGAACCACGACTGGAGCCCCTTGAAGAAATAGGACCCGCCCTGGCCAGTGTGCCTCCGTGGACAGAGCCTCTGCCTGCGACTGCAGGGTCCCAGGTTCAGTTCTGCTCAAGGGTGCAGGCCTGGGTTGCAGCCTCGATCCCTAGGGGGCATGCAAGAGGCAGCTAGTCAATGATTCTCATCATTGATGTTTCTCTCTCTCCCTGCCTCTCTGAAATCAATAAAAATATATTTAAAAAAAGAAATATGACCCTAAAGACCCCCAGCCGTTCAGCTCAGCGGCATTCTCTGTGCCTACAGCTGGTAGCCAGACCCACAGCGCCGCTAATGCGGTGGGAGGGGGACTGGCTTTGGGGTTGGGGGGCTCCAGCCTTGGGCTCTCTAGCTCCTCAACCCTCCCTGAAGGCAACCCTGATATCTGCGTCCTGGAATTTTACCCAGTTCCTACCCATACCTACAACCTCTCTCCCTAACTCTACACTTTGGCCCCATCTCTTTCAGATCACAAGCCTGGAGGGAGGAGATGGCAAGGGATGCTAGGGACCCTCCTTTAAGCTGTAGTCAAGATATGACCCCAGCATGTCCAACCTGCGGCCGGCAGGCCGCTCGACCTAGACTAAAGGGCCTGAACAGGTGGTTGTGGAGCCTCCCTGTGGGGGCCTCCCTGTGCCCGCCCCACCCCAGGCAATCAGTCAGAATCTGCGTGGTGCAGCCACTGGAGAGCTGGCCCTTCCGTGAGCCAGGCGGGCATCTCCCCACAGAGCAGTGCCCCACCGCATCTGCCCGGGAAGCCCAGCACGCACAGACTGGCAGGTGTGGACTAGCACGTTCCTGACATCAGAGCGTGGAAAGCAACCCGGGCGCCCGTCCAGCTCGCTGGGTGAAGGCCTCGTGGGTTAAGTGGACAACGAGCTCCCCTCAGCTCAGACCCATCCTCAAGGCTGAAGAAGGTGCGGAGTGGGAGTGGCCCACTGTGTGGTTCTGTGTGCAGCAGGTCTGGCCACTGAGGGATGCACCTAAGACGGAAGAACTCTAAAGAAAAGCCAAGAGCCATTATCACCAAGTGAGGGACAGTGGCTTCCCGGGGCAGCTCTGAAAGTGTGGCGGCCCTCTGCTGCCTCAATGGGGGGTGGGGGGATGTCACGGGAGTGCTTTTCGGGGACGTGTGCTTCATAGGCACTGAAGTTTGCATGTTTACAGCCCTCCCAGAAAAAGAGAAAAGAAATGAGCATGGGAGTAACAGGAACTTACAAAGAACCGGAGAGGAGCGATGTAACTGCCTGGGGAGGGTGGGGCCAGACTGAGTGGAGTCCCCATCAGTGTCAGCAGGAAGTCAGAAAATGCCCCAAACCCGACCGTCTGTTAGGGATGCAGACGGACGGCCCAGAGGCCAGCGGGAGTGCGCGGGACGGTCTGAGAGGGCAGCACACATGTGCGCGTTCTGTCCGCTTTCTCCCAGGCGTCTTTCTGGCCATAGGACACGGTGCAGGGGTTACTTTGCTAAAAATGTGAAAACAATGACGTCTCCTCAGTGGTTTCCCCCTGGGCTTGGCAGGGGCAGCT